ATAATGGATTGGATGCCAAAAACAATGAATATTATTCCACCTGAGAAGGCAAGCTGTAAATTTATAAGTGTCTATTACAACATTAAATTTATTTATATGTATTGAATATTTGTTTATGTGTAGGTCTGTGTTCCCCCCTGCATGATGAGACAGTTCACTAGTTTTTAGCTATAATTATTGTGGACAAGAAAGAAGTTCTTATATTGGATTCATATCCATCTCAAGAGTGCAAAATAATTCGTCGCCAAGCAGTAATGAGTATGGTACACTTCTCAAATTGTGTGGTTCGAACGCAACATCAAATATCTAAACTAAATATGTGTAGGCTTGTATCTAAGTACAAATACTTCATAACTTGTGTAGATATCATATTTGGACGACTTGTTTAAGGCTCAATATCGTCAAGTCTATCAAACATTGGAGAAACCAAGTATTAATGAGTTTTCCCTCAAAACTCCTTCAATTGATCAAGAACAAGTACACGAGCAAGAATACGTCCTTATGCCTAATTTTGATTGGTCGCTTATAAATCAGTTTCTCATGTGAGGCATTTAATTTTATGTAGATTTGATAGCGGGGTTTGGGTCTGCATGTGGATGATGCGTGCAACTTGGGATTCCTATTTTATTTGGGTAAGAAACAATTCTGGTTCTATTTACCATTTACCACATTTTCAAATACTAGTCTCATTCATATTCTTTTTGTACAATATAGCAGTGTTGTGAAATGAGGAGGATGCAAATAGCATTGTACCTTGTTGGAGATCTAATGAATCATATAAGGCATAAGGTGTTGAAGGAGTCAAACAAAATTGCAACTAAACTTGCAGCTTTTACTCGTGAGTACAAGGAAGCCAATAAAAAACGGTTGTGTGAGGACTAGAAGACCATGGGAGGAGATCCTGATTTCTATATTAATATTTTGTTTTATCTTCGTACTTTCAATTCGGTTTTGGAACATCTAGATGCATTGAATATTTTTCTCTGGTCGAAATTACATTGAATAATGAGTATGCCTTTTTATTCGGTTCAAGGTTACGAATTTTGTTTTTATAACTAGTTATGGATTTATTAATTGCTTATTGTCTGGGATTTATATATACTAGATCATTAGCGGGCAAGCATTGAAAATTTCAGAAATTTCAAGCATGATTTTTGTGCTCACCCAATTCGTTAGCCCAAAATGAAAGGCCCAACATTAGGTGATAGGCTGGTGAGATCCAGAGTCTAGAGAAAGGAAATTGTAAATCCGGGAACTAACGAATCTGGTAAGCTAAAAATAAATAATGCTTCTTAAAACAGCCCAGTTCACAGTTTTGAATATTTGTTTCGACTTCCAGAGCTCTTGCACGACTGTACCTGCCAAAAAAATTAAGCAGGTGAGTATTTCCATTTGACCCTACAATCCTGTCTTTTTGGAGAAGCTATAGGTAGTTTGAAATTATATCCGAGCCATGAACAACATCTGCATAACTTGACCACGAATACGACACTTACAACAAGAACTTGGTGACCAACAGTTAGTACAACATGTAAATATCTTTTGGATGAAAAAATATACAAATGGCGTACTAGTTTCACAACAATCAACACTTCGCCCCTGATATCAATTCATTCCAGGCAGCAACTTTTGGAGTTCCAAACACGGATTTGGTGCTACTTCTAGGAGAATGTCAAACTTTGGCACCAGATAGAAGGTTCCAAACTTAAGTATTTGAACAAAATTTCCAACCGAAATAACACTCAACATGGACGTCGAGAGTAATAAACATTCTATGACATTTGTATATTTTTCCTCCATTAGAAGTCGACATATTATATATCTCATCCCAAGAACTCATTACAGTGAATGCTATATTACACGGGCCAAATTGCAGAAACTTGTACACAACACAGATTCATAACTGAACTAAATAGCTAGCCACAATAATACGAACGATATTGTATTGGTAGTATGGAAATAATCACCCTTCTTAGTACTAGGCAGTACCTTTGGAGGAATGATTGCCTCTGTAGTTTGGGAATCTCGGTCAGGTAAACGGTTTGTGGGATCTCGTAACAAAAAACAAATACACAATTAGTGAAGGCAGAAAAATCGCTGACCAAAAGTTGAATGACAAGGGATTGAAGGAAAGGATTTTACCTAGACCGGAGGAGGGCATTTCAGTTTGTGATAATCACGGTGCTGTATGTGTAGATGTGTCACGTGTAGTGAGAAAAACATACAGATGGCTAAGGAGTTTTATATGTATACATGGCAAACTCGCAAACTTGATTGCATGAATAGCAAACTCCTTAACCATCTGATGTTATCCTTATTACCGTAATGAGATAAGGTTGGAGACAGAGAGGGATGGCATTTCAAACTGTTGTGCTTTTGTAGGAAGAGTGGAGTGCAGTTTATATAGAAGGCTTAGGAAGAGAGAGCGGATGATAAGATGAGCAAAAACATAAGATTTTCCTATGGGTTGGCCAACGGTAAGGGCGGTGGAAAGGGATAGGGTTAATGGTGGGATACTATTTTGCATGAGCATCTGAGCATCTCTTTTTCAGGCTTTTGCTATGTTCAAGAGAGGTCAGCGCAGCAGGTGGATTTGTCATCTTTTTTTTTGGGGCTAATACCACTACAACACCCGAACTATTCGGAAAATGCCACTTGTGTCCTATTGTTTCTAATATTCCATCTGTGTCCTGAACTATTATATTTTGTGTCATTTGTATCCTACCAATTGTGTTGACCGTTAAAGATAACAGTTGACCAAACGGCGATCAACTTAACATTGACTTTTGCTTACGTGGCAATGCCGAGTCATTGACACCTCACATTTTTAATTCAAAATAAAATAAAATTTTGAAAATAAAAAATTAAAAAAACTTTAAATTCAAGAATATTATTTTAACCTAAAAATAATATTAGTTTTTAACCTAATCTCTTCTCTTCTCTCCGCCTCCGCCGTCGACCATTCCCCAACAAAAACCCAAATCGCCAAGAGGTGGGGAACCATCCTCCGCCTCTAAACAATCGGAGCCGGAGTCGATGCTCCCCTGTTTCCCTGCCACCGCAATCAATGAGCTTCCTACACAATCGTCATAGATCTAGACCTTTCTCTTTTCTACCCCTGCGGCTACCAATTCCTCTTCTCCTTCGTCAATTCTCAATTACTGGAAGAGAGGCGGGGAGGTCGTGGATTTTTTGAAGCCACGCCGACAGAGGTAAGACGGGGAGGCCATCCCTGCGCTCTTTTGTGGCCGCCGCCGGCGGAAGAGGAAGAGAAGCGACGGGACGGCGGCAGTGGTGCTTGAGCCTTGGAGTGAAAACTCGTTGATGCAAGGTCGAGAGGACGGGTTATTGTGGCGGAATTCCAGTGATTGTTCCCAGATCTTATCATCGTCGGCAGCAATTGTTTTACAGGTGGAGATGGTTCAGCGACTGCTCTTTGCTTGCGGGATCGGGTGGAGGAAGAGTAGCTGGGCTGGGCTGGAGCGCCTTCGCTGCTGCTGGTTTCTTCGCAGTGGAAGTAGACTGGAGCGGTGCCTTCATCTCTTACTCAACTGGATCTATCGGCGCTCATCGTCGACGATTTTGCGGCGACGGGTTATGATCGAGCTAACTTCAGATCCATTGTCTGGTGCTTAAGGTGATTTTGGAGATTTTCCTGGTGGATGTTGAAAATGAAATGCAGATCTAGATCTGTAGTGGTGTAACCAGAAGAACGGAAGGTGGAAGGGATTTTTCGATCTGGGAAATCTTTTAGGGAGAGAAAGAAAGTGAATTTATTTGAGTTATTGTTTTATTTTTGAAATTTTCCATAATTTTTATTTTGTTTTCCTTATTTTAATTATTTTAGATGAAAAAATAAATGAAAATTGATAATGAAAATTCCAAGTCAGACGCCACGTCAACGCTGACTGGATTTTCTGTTAAATACTAACGGTCAACGTCGGTCAACACTAACGGAATAATAGTTCAGGACACAGATGGAATATTGGAAACAATAGGACACAAGTGGCATTTTCCGGATAGTTCGGGTGTTGTAGTGGTATTAGCCCTTTTTTTGTTGACAAAAGTGGACTTGTCATTAGAAGGGACAAAAGTGTAAAGAAAATGACAAAGGGTGGGCTCGGTTTTTTGTGACTTTTTTGTGAGTTTCCAATGTAGGTTTACGATTCCCAATTCTATTCTTTCTCTTCTAAATCCCTAATCTCAACCCTAAATCCCTATTCGTTACGAGTAGTTATGGATGCCGAAGATCAGTCCCAAGAATCCCTAGAAGCGGGGTTCTTTCATTGGTATCATGGCCTGGTTGCAGGCACTCGTACCGAAGCCGTGTCGAGATTCGAAGGGCTCTCAATCGAAGAACTCACTAAAGCTCTTATGATGAAGTTGAAAGCGACGAGAACGGAGAGGAGTCTGATCACACTTCCAGCCGCAGCTTGCACCGTAATCAAACCGCTGATCGCATATATGAATTTCGAAGATTGGTTGGAACAACCTGCATTTCCAATCGAGCTCGAGCGAAGTGGAACAACGCCACATGTGACTATGGCAACGGATTCTCCAGCCACAAAAGACACGCCAATGCCACCAATCACCACCGTTGTAAAGGTCGAGACGACAACAAAGGAGAAGCAGATGGGGCGACGATCGTCGGCGGCTCCATTGAGGGCGACGACGAAGAAGGAATCGCATGAGCCGGAATCACGAAGAAGACCACGATCTTCATTACCTTTCTACACGGCAAAGAGGTTGCCGCCGAAGAAGAAGATGACGGAGGTGGGCGCGCGACTAAGGGGCGCGTTCGTGGCGGCGTCAGTTGTTGAGGATGTGCCGCCGCAAAAGTCGCCGGCGAATGAGGCGGATTTAGACTGGCCGCCTAGCCACCGGAGGGAGCGCGCGCTGTCGGAGAATGAGCTGAAGTTGGAGATAAAGGAAGAGCCACCGCCGGCAGGGAATAGTAAGAAGAAGAACGTGGTGGTGGCGGCGGCGGAATCCTCTACTCACTGCCGGACAGAGGAGCGACGAAGGCGGCGAACTTTGTGCTCGAGGAGAAGGTTTTGACGGAGCTTGAGGCGGAGATGAAGATGGCGGATCAGGAGGATTCGCCGAAGATGCGAGTCGCGCGGACGCAGCGATCTGCTCCATTCGGAGGGACGGTGGTGGGGTCGGGGAAGCCGGCGATGAGGTTGGAACCGCCGGAGGACGAATTGAAGAGGCGACTGCCTGAGAAGGGTTCGAAGATGAAGGAGGGCGGCGACTGCGTCTCTCCTCTCGTGAGCTCTAGGTCGGCCACCTTGGGCCAATCAACCCATCAACAAGAGCTTTTACATTTGGGCCGGGATGTGGTTCTGTTTGCTGGGTCCCCTTTGGGCCGAGACTTTCAGGCCGTCTTATTAGATGGGAAAGAGCGAGTGAGCCGAGAGCCAGCATTCGCTGGGCTCGTTCAAGAATGGCTGAATCAGCAAGGTGGGTCAAGTTCTTGGAGGGAGATTGAGCCTAACATAGTTTGGGTGTGGAAGAAGGTGGGCTTGGAGTCTAAAAGTTTGGCTGATAAACCTTTAAAAGAGTTTAGCTCAAGTTCACATAGAAGAGAGTTCTCTAACTCTTATTTTGTGGACTTCAAAAGAGAAGAGCAAGAACTATATGGCTGGAAACAGGGTGATGGATGTCTCATGGCAGAAGAAGAGTCGAAGAAAGTCGAAGTTGCTGGAACAAGGTTCGGTCATAAGATGGAGCAAAATTGGAAGCGTAGAAAGCGGAAGATCAAGAAGACGGAAGTTGACTGCAACCTTGAGAACAAGGTTGCTTCCAAGGAGGGTGGAATGTTAGACATATAATTAGTAGAATCATAATAATTAATAATGTTAGTTAAATAGGTTAGGCGGCTAACGTAGGTCGATTAGGTTATGAATAGTTTATTAGGGTTTTGGGTTTATTCCCTATAAATATATACTTTGGGTTTACGTAATAATCAATCAAGAACAATAATAAGAAGAATCTCCTAAACCCTAGTTTATCCTCTCAACTCCTAATCCAAGGCCTCGACCGATTCTCAATTCTATTTTTTCTCATCTAAATCCTTAATCTCAACCCTAAATCCCTATTCGTTACGAGTAATACTGGTGCCGAAGATCAGTCTCTAGAATCCCTAGAAGCGGGGTTCTTTCAGTTAATCTGAACTGTCAATTGTGCAAATATATTTGACGTTCAGTTTGGATGGTTTTAATGTGTAAAAGCATGGTGTGAATTAAAATGTCTTTTTGTATTCTGACAGACAAAGGGTGAAGTAAGTTCCAATCATTTTTCTACTCGCAATTGATGTAAGTATGTCACTGTGTATTTTGTTTGACCAAATCAGAAGTGAATATGCATAAACTGGATTATACCAAATCAGAAAGTTGCAAGGTTTACACATTGAAATTATAATAAACAGGATTATGATTATGTGATTACTTAAGTAGATTTGTTTGTTTTAGGGCGCTTCCACCTCAGGGAAGCAGAGGAAGTAAACTGGAAATAACAATTGTCGCCTTTCTTAGAGACTTCTTCGACTTGGTATTTTACTCTTGTTTTTCATTTCCTTCCCCATTAATCTTTGGGGTTTCAGTCTCATTGCAGGTTGTCTACCAGAAACATGATCCAAAGGAGGGGGACATAGAAAAATAGGAAATAGGCTGAAAGATGGCAAGATCATCCTGTGGTTGGGGGAAGCAAAATGCTAGGACACTCGAAGAGTTATCAGGAGCAGGTGCATTTTTTCCCCCTTCCCAATTGATTATGCCAATCAATTCCTTCAATTGAAGATCCCCTGTGTTTAAGAAAATAAGTGTTTCTTTATGTGGTTTCTTATTTACATGTTCTACAATTCTCGACACTTCATAATTTTGATTACTTATGCTAATTGTTTTGTTTTATATAGGCCAATCGTCCCTGCGATAAGAAATCTCTACTGAGACCAGTGCGAGAGAGGAAACAATTAGTGGAATCAGGAGCGGACAACAGAGAGGGTTGCTGAGGGCATGTTCAACAACGAGGGTGAGTTGGTGATTTGATTTGCCTGCCTTACAAGTCCATGCTTCTGAAACTTTCAGGTCTGTGTGCTCCCAACTGTTACCTTTTTAGAAGGTTTTAGTTTCTCCAAGTAATACAACTTCAGTCCAGTACATAGGCCCCGTTCCGTAGGTTTACGCACGCTTCTTTCCTGCTAGGGGTAGATTTTCATTTTGTTACTATTGCATTACTAGGATCAGCTTCTGCCTTTTTTCATGTTGTAATATGAGATTGGAGCTTCTATTCATTTCGTTAGCTTTAAGTATTGGTATTACCGTGCCTTAAATTTGAACAGTTGGCCTTTTGATCGAACGTATAATGAGCTCTGTCTTGGTATGCTTGAATAATCTCATTCGTCTTAAATTTGTTCTGCTTTGGTTCTCTCATTTAAATAAAATGAATATTGTTGTGAGCAGCTTCAGCTTATTGAAGTGATTTTCCCAACAAAATAAAGGAATGATTAGGATGTCCAGTGCCCTTGAATCAAGTCAGTTTGATTCCTCAAATCGGGATGTTATGGAGATGCATTTGGTGCTTCCGTCTCCCTCTACTTCCACGATTTTTTTTGCAAGTTTCACGTTGTAGGTCATCTTTAACATTGTTCGCATAACACGAAGGACCGGAGAAGGGAAAGGAATTTCTTCATATTATCTTCATGTCTCTATCTTGACCCGTGCCTCAGCAATTTCTCTGCATCCTTAGTGTCGGATATTTTATCTCCATTTTCAGATTCATTGTACCCCCTAATTAATTGACATTACTATTGTTGTTTGATTTTGGCATTCATTCCATCTACTCTAGCCTTACAAGTCCCCCTTAGCATATTCTTACAGTGAACCGCAGTCACTCAAAGAAGTGGAGAAAGCAGCGAATGTGAGATAAAGAAATGCAAAGGTTGTATATTGAATTCCTTACGTTGTTCAGCCTGACACATTGAATGGTGTTTAAACTAGTTGAAGTTCACTGGAATATCTTATTTTATTTCTTTTGGTTTCTCATTTACATGTTGTACGCTTCTCGGGCCTCGACACCTTTATAATAATTTCCATACACAATCTAATTGGTGTGGTTATATACAGGTGAATGATTCCCGAGATGAGAAATCATTGACGATGCCAGCACAATGAAGGAAGCTATCATAGAAATTAGGAGCTACAATGGGGAGGGATGCTGGGGGCCTGTTCGCCAACAAGGGCTGTCCGGCAATTTTCAAGGCATTGATTTTGTCTGTTCCAGTTCTGTAATCTCCCAACTGTTTAATTTAATTTGTACAGGCTGCCAACCATTACATTGGTACCTGCTAGCTCAATTAACCCTGTTGCTCATCGAACAATCTCTTTTGTTATCAGCTAGAATTCATAGTTTCAGTGTGCTTTTGTGTAAATTAGATTGTGGAGGTTAGGTTGCTTATTTCATCGTTCTGCTTTTAATCTGCTCCAGGTACATTAGCTTGCAAGTTCAATCTGCCTGCTTCGGGCAAAAGGAACCTAGTATACAATGGCAACTTCTTTTTTTTTTTTCTAACTTCTCCTTTTAGTCGAGCAAGCAATCCACAAATGAAGCACGAATGAGATAAAGTTTCTGTTTTTTTTTTTTCGTTTGTTTCAGGGCGTTAAGCGGAGCAGCAAGTATAGCTGGAGCGCGACTTGCATCATTTGTAACTCACAAATAATCGAATGGTGATTGTCCTTCAAGTTTGGAACCAATGATTACTAGGAGACTAAGATTGTCTCCTGTATTTTACTTTGCTATTTTTTTTTAAAGAACAAGTGTTTCAGACTAATTTGATTGAAAGAGAGTTTCAGAATAATTTGATTGAGAGAGAGATCTCAGAGGATATATTCTATTCTATTCTTCTATTTTTCTTAATCTGTTTGTTTATCAAAATTGGAACTGCAGAGATGAGAATGGCAACATAGAAGAATATGTATGGGAGGGCATATATGCGTATATATATCATTCTTGTAATAATAATTGAGATTCCAACTCCAAGATGTAAATAATTTGTAATATCAAAGAAGCAACATAAATGAACCAAGTATTCCCCACAGGCCATAGTGTAGTGTGTGAGTTTTTAACATATTCCACAGGCAGCTTTGTCAGTTTGTCCTTATTGTGAGAAGAGGATAAACCAAGTGGAAAGTCCATTGGATTGGATTGGATTGGAGGCAGCACTTCACCTAGGGGAAAAGGAAAGTAGAAAACAAAAAGAAAATTTTGTAAGCATTCGCCTTTGCTATGTTCAAAGTTGAAACCTACCCACCCACCCCCCCACTAAGCAACAAGAGAAGGTGTTGTTTTGCTTTGGTATGGCATGTTTGGATTGACGCATGTTTGGCCAGCTCTTATTCCCATCCTCTTGGCTACCTGCCAAAATCAGCTCAACTTTTTCTTGGGGAAGAGGTGGAAAAATGGGAGAGAAACAGACAAAACAAAACCCCTTTCTTTCTTTCTTTCTCTTTTTCCCCCCACTGCCCTCTTTCTCCTCCCACTCCCTCCTCTCTTTTGAATGCTTATTTGGAGAGTGTGAGCGGAAATCTAGGGCTTCTATGGACTTCAAGAAATTCCATATTCCTCTCGACCCTATACAAGACAAACATAAGCCAGATGGTGACAAGAACAACCTCTTGTGTTATGGCCAAAGCAGCCATGGAGGAAAGAGAAAAAAGGGAATAGAATGGGTCTCCTCAAGATGTAACCTTTTTTTAGACCATCACTGCCCATTCTGTAGCAAAACCCAATAAAACCCAAAGCCATCTCACTCCCCTGCCTCTTCCTCCCCCTCTCCTCTGTCAGACATATCATGCCTGACCTAGCTCATCGAGATTGAAGCTTTTCCGGCGGAGCTTTCTCTGGGTTTTTGACGAAATCTAAAACCCAGTTGGGATTTGACTGAAGCCAGTGCCGATTTGAAGCTGCCTGCCACTGGCAGGAGAGAACCAGTGAACTTCCTGGTAATTCTCTCTTTCACAACTTCAAGTATCTCAATTCTTCCATACCGTCTTCGCTTGATTTGGAGTTCTTGCCGAAAAATAATGTTTTGTTTATGTTAGCTTCATCGTTTTCTCTCATCTGGAATCCACTGTAAGTGGTCTTCGAACAAGTTTTGTGTTCACTGAAAACCTAGGGAGACGCTTGTAAACTTCGGTATTTGCCTTATTGGACATGTGTTGATCGAAAGAAAAGCATCACCAGCTATAATCTCTCGAGGGGTGTAAGTAACTTTGGATCATGACATGTTAGAAAACGCTGGAGATGTACTTTTCTGCTTAAAAGAAAGATAAAACGCTGATGAGAAAATGCTGCCTGATTAGCATTTGGTGTCTATTGGCACGGGTCTGCCCAAGTGTTTGTTTTTACCGTTTATGTCTTGTTTTGCGATGACTACAAAGTGAGCAATCAGCAACTAAGTAATTTTCCTCTCTAATCAAATCGCCATAAGGGCTATGAATCTCCGCATCAAATTGTTCTTGTCAATGACTGCTAAGAATGCATCATCGAAAGTGACAACAAACACTAGTTGGATTGATCTCCCGCCTTGGAATTATTGATTTCTTCTGCCAATCTCTTGCATTTGTTTTTATCTTTATTAGCCGTACTTTGTTCTCATATTTGGACGGATTGCTGATTATACCAATGCCTCGAATCGGGGCGGTTTCAGGGTGTTGAGTTTGGCTCTCAATATCAATTGTTGATGGCAGGAAACGTTCAAGAAGACAGATCCTCTGTCACTTCATCTCCCCTTCCGTTATTTCCCTGGATGTCACTATCTCCAGGACTTGGATCCCCATTCCCATGGTTGAGGGATCTACAACCGGAAGAGAGGGGGTTGTGTCTCATTCAGCTCCTTCATGCTTGTGCAAACCATGTGGCTGCAGGGAGTGTCGAGAATGCAAATGTCGGCCTTGGTCATATCTCCCACCTTGCCTCTCCTGATGGTGATACTATGCAAAGGATTGCTGCTTACTTCACCGAGGCGCTTGCTGACCGGATGCTCAAAGTCTGGCCTGGTTTGTACAAGGCTCTCAATTCCACGAAAACCCGTTCACCCTCTGAAGAAATTATTGTCCAGAAGCTCTTCTTCGAGCTTTGCCCCTTTTTGAAGCTCTCATATGTCATAACAAACCAGGCTATTGTGGAGGCAATGGAAGGTGAGAAAATGATACATATTATAGATTTGCACTCATTTGAGCCTGCTCAGTGGATTGAGCTACTCCGGACATTAAGCGCACGGCCTGAAGGTCCACCTCATTTGAGAATCACAGGTATTCATGAGCAGAAAGAGGTGTTGGACCAGATGGGAGCTCGATTAGTCGAAGAAGCTGAAAAGCTGGACATCCCATTTCAGTTCAACTCCATAGTGAGCAAGCTTGAGAATCTCGATCTTGAACGCTTGCGTGTGAAGACGGGAGAAGCTCTTGCAGTCAGTTCTGTTCTTCAGTTGCATTCTCTCTTGGCAACTGATGAGGCTGAGGTGGTTGGAAGAGTTTCTCCTTCAGCACCGGCTTCTAAGAGTGCTAGTCATAATAACCACATTCAAAAGTTCATGCAAATGAACCAACACCAGAAGACTTTAGGGGAGTGGCTTGAGAAAGATGTGGTTCATTATCATTGTTCGAGTCCCGATTCAGCACTATCCCCACTATCACTTGCTCCATCACCAAACATGGGAACCTTCTTGGGTGCATTTTGGGCTCTTTCACCCAAGATCATGGTGGTGACCGAGCAGGAGTCCGACCATAATGGCTATTCATTAACAGAAAGGGTGTCTGAAGCTATGAACTTCTATGCTGCTCTTTTTGATTGTTTGGAGTCATCTACTGATCCCAGAGCTTCATTAGAAAGACAAAAGGTCGAGAAGATGTTATTCGGTAAGGAAATCAAGAACATAATTGCTTGTGAAGGGAACGAGCGAAGGGAAAGACACGAGAAGTTGGAGAAATGGATACTGCGGCTTGAGTTAGCCGGGTTTGGGAGAGTTCCTCTGAGTTATGATGGAATGTGGCAAGCAAACAGATTACTGCAGAGTTATAACTATGGAGGGTATAAGATCAAAGACAAGAAAGGATGCTTGCTCATTTGCTGGCACGACAGACCTCTGTACTCCATCTCGGCTTGGAGACATAGGAGGCAATAGTAAAAAGAGCATACTTCAACACCTTCAATAAGTTTTTCTTTCTTAGATTTCCATTCTCTTTTTGGATTTCTGTAGCTTTTGATTTTAATGTTTCTCTGTACAAACGATGGTTTTCTCCATCTTGCCATCTGCATAGTGTTACTCCTGTATGATCTGAGTGGGTTCCTTCATCTAACCTCTTCGTCCATTTTTGGTGTGTTCCTTGTTTTGTCCATCTATCATTTTCTTTCTTGAGGTTTTTGCTCCCCTCCATCTGCATGTATCAATCCAACAGAAATGAAAAAAAGTTGAGGCTTTGGTTTCACCATTCTGATGGTATGTCTTGGCTGTACCAATAATCATATGTTTTCTATTGAAACAAAGCACGGAAAGGGCACAAGTCTTCTTGGAACTGCCACAAGTTTACAAAAGGAGGATTCAGAAATATACAACAGAGACATTGTATTCAACGGCAGCTGATGTTCCCTTGGATGTCACTCTCTTTGCCAGTGCATTCCCTCGACCACATCGGAAATCACTGGCATTTCCCTCACATCTTCAGCTATCCTAGAGGCTAGAACGACGCTCAAGGCATTGCCATTGTAGATGATGTCTTCAAGAAAGCTGAAATTCAGAAGCATGAGGAATGCTACATCCTGTTGAGAAGCCAGAGCATACATCCCTTGTGCTCTTCCGATGAGCTACGATCTAGCTCTTCTGATAACGGGAAGAGACTTCGTGAAGATATCACCTAACTATTTGGAAGAAGAAACGTACATTACATTTACTGTGCTTGCTGAGATTTTGTCACGAATTATATGGCGATCGACTTCAATAAATTTCTTACGTTCGTGATTTGCGATCAACTTCAATAAATTTCTTACGTTCGTTATTTACAAGATTAGCAGCTAATTTTGTAGCAAAAATGCTATCACAGAAAATGGCGGTAGGGGTTAATAAATTTTTTTTTTACTGAAGGTAGCCGTTAATAATTGAAATCATAAGTCATGTAATTCATGGAGATCATTGTGAAATTCTCTAATTTTGTTATTTTTCTTTGTGAGCTGGTCTTTTAGTTTCACTATTTCATGCACTCATTCATCGATTAAAAAATTGTTATTTCTTCTTTAGTCTGTTTAACTATTCTGATGGATGTATTTATTTTAGGATTGTGGTTTTCTATTTTCTTCATATGTGAAGAAAGTCAATTTCTATGAAAAAAAAAAAAAAAGAAAGTCAAGTTGTTGAGAGAAGTTCAATTATTCATATCTTATACAATTTACTAACAATATCAATAACTATGAAGTTTGGGTTATTAATGGTTGAACCGCTTAATGAGGAATAACTTGAAAACGGTAGCTTTTATATATCAACAACTTAAAAATGTGACTTTTATTTATCTTTTATATATATATAACCATATGTATGTGTTTTTTTTACATGGCTTCACATTTCTATTATTTTATTAACTTTTCAATACAAAGGTAGGGGGTATGCTGTTAAGCGGATTTGAGTGAGTATGGATCCACCTACTATGTGGTAAATGAAGAAGCGACAGACCCACACCACTCAAACATGTCATATGGCTGGATCAATTGGGTGATTTCGAATGGGTGATTGGGTGGGTTTGGTCGATATATAACATATGTTCCAAAAGACCACATACGAACATTATTTCAAACTTAAAATAAAAGAAATTTTCATGCTAAGTAACATTTACTAAATATGTTAGATGTATTGTTTAGTTCCCAAAACTACTACTAATAATTTTTCACAAATCACCAAAAACATTTAAACTAATAAACCTACTATTATCTGCTTCTCTCTAATCTTTGAAGCGACAGTCATTCATTGTTTGTCCTTTGACAAGAACATAAAATTTATATGGTAAATACCTTATTCTGGTCCGAACTATACTCAAATAGTCTATTTTGGCCCGTGATTTTAAAAATGGTTATACTGGCCTCAACTATACACTATGTAGACTAGTTTGGCCGGACGCGTATTTTGACCGTCAATTTGGACGGTCAACAATGTTGACTAACAATTAACCGTTAATGTCAGCATCTCATCCGTCTAAAAACCATTAAAAAAGTTGGAAAGTTGGAAAATATCACAGGGAGCTTATATCTCTGTAGAATGCTCTCGACTACCTCCCCTGTTCCGTCTCCGGCGCCGACCCTGTCCTTGACAGGAAGACCGCCAGACCCTGGACAGGGACCAAGATCACCTGTGTCAACCACTGTTCCTATTGGTAGCCCACCTTCAAGTTACAAAGCAGTCTTGGCAGGGCAATCAGATGAAACCAGGCGTACAGCAAAGCAGTGGACTTTTGTGGGCGAGCATGATCTGGAAGCCACCACCTACGCCGGCGAGCCAGAACTGAAGGTATCCGACAAATTCAGGGAAAGATTATGTGACCCATGGAAGAAAACATTAGTCCTGAGACTACTCGGGAGATCGGTGTCCTACTCATATCTGTGTTCCCAACTCAGATGGAAATGGCGACCATCGGGATCATTAGATATAATAGACCTCAACAACGAAACCTTCCTTGTCACATTCAGCAACGATCAAGACTACCTTCTTTGAAGAACAGATCAGAAACAATGGTGAGTGGCATCCCATGTAGTCGCACCACCTCTTTGAAGAACAGATCCGCCACATTAACCGCATCGTCAGTTTTATGGCATGGAATGAAATGTGCCATCTTTGAGAATCGATCCACCACCACAAAGATAGAATCTCGACCTCTCTTCGTCCTTGGCAGCCCCAATACGAAGTCCATAGATATATCAACCCACGGTAACGAGGGAATGGGTAGTGGAGTGTACAATCCAGACGATTGCACCTTCGATTTAGCTTGCTTGCACTCCACGCATCTAGCACACAAGCTCTCCACATTGCTTTTCATATGAGGCCAATAGAAATGCTCTTGTAAGCAACTCAAAGTCTTGGCTACACCAAAGTGTGCCATCAATCCTCCTCCATGAGCTTCTCGTAGTAGCAATTCTCGAAGTGAAGTACGTGGTATGCAAAGTTGATTACCACGAAAGAAGTAGCCCTCATGTCGATAGTACTTCCCTTCTCCATGCTTCTCACAAAGCTTGTAAATCTCTCGAAAATCAGAATCCTCCTCATAGATAATGCTCGAATCCAAGGTATCTTGCATCCATGGTAGTGATCAACATGTATCTTCGCGATATCAGCAACTACGTTCTCCTTGCCTTGCTTGTACTTGATCACATAAGGGAATGATTCAATGAACTCCACCCAACGAGCATGCCTCTTGTTCAACTTGTGTTGGGCCTTCAAATACTTGAGAGACTCATGATCAGTATGTATGACGAATTCCGTTGGCCATAAGTAGTGTTGCCAAGTCTCCAAAGCTCGAACAAGCGCATAAAGCTCTTTATCATAAGTCGGGTAATTAAGCGTAGCTCCACTCAACTTCTCGTTGAAATATGCAATGGGCCTCTTCTCTTACATCAATACAGTGCCAATTCCCAATCCTGATGCATCACACTCCACTTCAAACATCTTGTTAAAATACGGTAGCATCAGAAGAAGAGCATGAGTAAGCTTGTACTTGAGGAGCTCGAATGCCTTCTCTTGCTCTTCTCCCAAATAAAATGCCACATTCTTCTTGATAATTGAGGTCAATGGTGCCGTAATGGTGCTGAAGTTGGGCACAAATCGTTGATAAAAGCCAGCCAATCCATGAAAGCTTCTTACTTCACTCATGTTGGTAGGAGTAGGCCATGCTTGAATTGCTTTTACTTTCTCTTCATCGACTTCAACTCCATTAGCACTCACGACAAAACCCAGAAACACCACGCTTGAGGTGCAAAATGTACACTTCTTGAGGTTGGCATAGAGTTTCTCCTTCCTCAAAGTCTTCAACACGTCCCTCAAGTGCTCAAGGTGCTCTTCCATGCTCTTTGAGTATATCAGAATGTCATTAAAGTAGACCACCATGAATTTTCCAATGAATGCTCTCAACACATGATTCATCAGCCTCATAAACGTACTTGGAGCATTTGTTAAGCCGAATGGCATCACCATCCATTCATAGAGACCATGCTTTGTTTTGAATGCTATCTTCCACTCGTCTCCTTCCTTCATGCGAATTTGGTGATAACCAGACCTTAGATCAATCTTTGAGAACATGTTAGACCCATGTAACTCATCAAGCATGTCATCTAATCGAGGAATAGGATGATGATAGTTAACAGTTATTTGGTTCACTACTCGACAATCAACACACATCCTCCACGTATGGTCTTTCTTAGGTACGAGGATGACAGGAACCGCACAAGGACTCATGCTTTCACGAACATGTCCTTCCTCCATAAGCTCATCAATTTGCCTTTGCAACTCCTTTGTCTCCTCTAGATTCGTCCTATAGGCTGCCTTGTTTGGAATGGTAGCCTTAGGAACGAAGTCAATTTGATGCTCTATCCCGCGGATTGGAGGTAATCCCTTTGGTGCTTCTTCGGGGAAGGCATCCTCAAACACTTCTAGTACCACTCGTGCCCTAGGTGGTAAAAGCCCCAACACTTGGGTAATCACAATCCAAATACTTAAAACAACTTAAACCAGAATCTTGAACCTTGAATCTCCAGTATATATACTCATACTCATAAACATAAAATAACTATCAAACTTTAACTATACTCTTCACCCAGATCCTTGACATCTCATCATCAGTACCGGCACGACCGCTTGCCTCATCTTACTTCTTCTCGGGATCCACTTCTGCTAACCCATCCTCAACCTGGTGAGTGAGAAGGGGTCAGTTTCGTCGTTACTTCCTAAGGTCTTGCCCTAAGCAACCTCCTTACTAAAACACATTATTAGCGTTTCCTTTCCTTAGATGAAAGCCGTTCTCGCTTTCATCCTTAAAAACTCATTTAAACTTTAACTCATAGAAGTTCTCTACTCCTATCTTAACTCAAACACATAAATACTAGGAACCACCGCGTTACGTCTCGCCGTCCGGTGTCCCTACCATAGTATGCCAACCGCGCTACGTCTCGCCGTCCAGTTGCATACCCAAACTCAGCGATGGCACTGCGTTACGTCTCGCCGTCCAGTCCATGCCCGGTCAACTACTGCGTTACGTCTCGCCGTCCAGTAGTGACCTCAACATACTCGATCAACTGTTGCGTTACGTCTCGCCGTCCAGCAGTGATCCGACCATCTACTGCGTCCAGTAGTGGCCCAACCGTCCGGGGGTTCCATTACCAACAACCATTCACATTCACAAACACATACATACATAGCACAACGCGT